GCATAAAGTTGACATTCTTGTTTGTTCTCGCCACCTGAGGGGAATGTGCAGAACGATCGAGGGCGCCTGGAAGTCCTTGCCGGGCTCCGCCTTGCCAAAGTCGAGAATCGAGCGGTTCGTGTCGGTCGGTAGGATCGTCGGGTCGTCCATCGTGTTCTTCGGTGACGAGGCTGCCGTGCTCGACTTGGCCTTGTTCGCCTTTTTCAGCGCCGTGATGCCGGTGGCCAAGGGGACTTCGCGGGACTTGGGCTCCGACTTGCTGGCCGAAACGGAAGGCGGTGCTGCGGTCGCTTTCGTCGAGTCGAGCAGCGCGGGCTTGGGCATGGGCTGGGGCGCAGGGCGGGCGTGGTGGTAGAGGGGCGATGTGGGGGCCGATTCGACGCGAGATTGCGCGTGGTTCTGCTGGTAGGACTGTTGGTGGGAGGGCGAGGCGGCGACGCCGCGGACAGGCTCGACGAGACTGGCGATCGAGGGCGACGCGCTGGCGCGGTTGAGGGTGGATGTCGGCGGCCGTGGCGATGTGGCGTTGCCGAAAATGCCTCGCACGGGGTCGTAGTTGCCGCGGATGGGGTCATAGCTCTGGCCGCTCGTTCGCGTGGGCAGCGTCGTGCTTCCGTTGGAGGGGTGCATCGACAGAGGCTCCGGGTCGGAGTTGAGTATGCTCTGCATCGACCTCGGCAGCTCTTCCCGCTTGGGGGCCTTTTGGGAGACGTAGTCTTGGGCTGAAGGTGTGCGGGTTCCCGAATCGGCCGAGTCAATGTCGACAATGTCGGAGATGCGATGTTGACGCGATGAGGAAGCCGAGGCGGAGGCAGAGGCGGAGGCAGAGGCGGAGGCAGAGGCAGAAGCGGAAGCGGAAGCAGCGAGGGACTTGGAGTCGGCAGGTTCGACTGGTTCATCCTGGGCAGGGGCGGACTTGCGTTTTCGCTGAATGGGCGGGGCGTTGGGGTCTTTGGGCTTCCTGGGCTTTCGAACCTTGGGCGGGTCATCGGGGTTCTTAGGCTTCAAGGTCGAGCCAGGTTTGCGGCCGGGCTTCTTCCTCGGCAGGCCCGCTGCTGTGAGGCGGACTTCGGGCTGGGGTGTTGTGGGTGGTGCAACGCCAAACCTGGGCTGCGAGGGGTCGACGATGATCTCGTCCATATCCATGCTGGTTCGACTGTGGTGGTTGATGTGTTTGAGTGGTGAGCCGGGTTCGGATAGGGAGCCGGAGGGAGGCGAGGAGAGACCGGGAGATGAGCTGTCCCGCGTTGGCGCGTCTCCTCCAGGCGCCATACTAGGGGGGAAGGACACCGGGGGTGGGGTTGTTGCGCCTGTTTCGCTCCAAAACCTTGATGCGATTGATCAAAGTTTGGTTGGAGCGAGCAGACGGCGACACATGCACTTGACAGAACAAAGCCTGTTTACGCCGGCCGCGTGTATCGCGAATGAAGTGGCTTGTGAAATGTTCAGATGCGTCGTCGCGAATGACTTCACTTTCGGTTCGGTGTGGAGGCTCCAATGCAGTCGCGGGCCGGAATGCGGGAAAGGGGGGGAAGGGGGGGATTGGGGATTAGGTAAGATGTGGCCTAGGGTGGTGCGTTTGGCTGGCCGGCCGGAGGCGATGCAGGCGCAAGAGTGACGGTGCAGATTGGGACGGGGTGGGAAGCAGCAAATCTGATGGTTGCGGCCTGGCTGGTGCGGAGTCGCCGAGGAGGGCGGGTGGTTGGTTGTTGGTTGTTGGTTGGCTGGTTGGCGTTGCTGGCGGAGGAAGGGTTGGAAAGGTGGACCTCTGGGAATAGCCTCAAGTGCGCTGGGCTGCTGCGCGGCGTCTCTCTTGACGACCGTGTTGAAATGACGTTGACCCGCGAAAAAAGGGCCTAGCTAGCGCGTCTGTCGCTCACTGATGCGATGAGCAGAAGCAGCCGAGTGCGACGAAGAGGATGCACCGTTTTCTACGATGAAATGGTCGAGACGATGACGCCGTTTTGATGAACGAAAGAATCGGACGTCGATGGGGGAGCGTTGTGGTGAGTTGTCGAGGAGAGAAAGTGGAAAGGGAAATGGGTGGTCGAAAGAGGGATGGGGATGGCTACACTTTTGGCGAGACCAGAAACCGGTCGCGCGCTTGGGTTTATTTTTTTTTCCCGGGCGAGCGAGCATAAGAGCTGCCTTGCTGGGGAAAGGCAAGGCAATGCAAAGGAGAAAAACGGGGCCCAAAGGCAATGGGTAATGGGCACAGGGGAAGGGGAAGCGGGAGACGGGAAGGGGGATGGATGGATGGAGGAGGGGAAAGGAAAAGGGAAGGGAATGGGAATGGGCACAGACAGGCATCATCCGGCAAAGCAAGCTGGATGGGCTCACCACCAAGAAAAGAGATTATCATTAGACGGGCACGGGGACGAGGGAAGGCCTGGAGGAGCCAGGAAGGGGAAGTGGAAGGGGGGAGGCGGTGGGGAGGGGGGGGGGGTTCACGTTCACGTCCGGCATCAGAACGGTGGGTCATGATCAATGAGATGGCGAGGGGGGGTGTTCACGGGCATGGATGGATGGTTTGGGAAGTAAAGGGCCAGGACGGTGGGAGATGGGCGGGAATGGGGACGAACGGAAACACCATGAATCCAGAGTACCACGAGTCGGAGAAACCAGATGATGAGAAAAGGGCCAAAGACGAGTGGACCGCCCAATCCAAGCCAGACTAGGCCAGGGGGGGTGGGGGAGAAAGCCGAGAAGAGAACAACAACAGCAAAGAGCCGAAGACACGGAGACAGAGTGAACAGATGACGAGACAGACAGACAAAGCCACCGGCCACTTGCGTGCCATGGGCAGAAACAACAAGGCCACGCCGAGCTGGGATGGCCAAGGTACCATGAGGAGGAAAGGTAAAGGCAGGGGCGGCAGTACCGACAACTAGCCGCACCGACACCAGAGAAAAGGTCATGGTCCATCATTCATCAGGCAGAAAGGCAAGAGGAAAGGTCGAAGGCTGACGGGAGTCACAGCCGATGACCGATCGCCGACGTTGGGAAATGGAGAACCATGGACCCTGGGGGGGGGGAAGGGGGCGCCAACCTGTGGCAGTCAGTCAGTCAGTCATTCTTGGAGTCGGTTGCAGTGTGGCGGAACATTTGGCCTGGGCTGGTCTGCAGGGCCACCCCCCCCCCTCCTGCAAACCTGCAAACTTGTATGTACCGTGGTGTGGAAAGCCCTGCGAGCAAGATCAGGTGGCCCGCTAAATGCTTGTCGACAGATCAAGCCGCCCGCGTGGTGCGGTGTGGGTGTGTGTGGGTGGGTGGTATGGACGTGGACGCGGGTGAAAGGGTGAAGTAGCGAGCCTGTGGTACAGGCTACATGGTACCTTGCGCGGCTGTCTGGGACAGACATGTTCTAGCGGGCGACGTGGCGCCGATTGCGGGTGCGCCGTCGCTTGTGGTGCAGTGCTGGGGGAGAGAACAAGGCCCCGTGGAAGGGAGAGGAAAAACAAGATTGGTCTGTGCTGCAGAGGTACCAGGGTACATGCATCGCGCGTCTAGTGCTGGGGAACTGTCCGGATCTTATCTCGATCAGGACTAGCATGACGAGTCAAGGGTCCGGTTAAGCGCGCTGTTTGCATGGATCCAGCTTGTTAGGAGACAATGCACAAATCGCTGCCGTGCAGGGGGGGTACAGCCGCGGGGTTGCCATGGCTAGCTTTTAGCCATTCATCATCCAGCCATGTTAGTTGATTCTATTCTTTGGTGATGTCGCTGCCTGTGGGTTTTGAGGTGTTGATTTTCATTATGCTTGTGCATCTTGAGCGAAACTCTTGCTGTTCTTCTTATGAACCACGAGCAGCTGGGGAAGCATGGACAGTGCGCATTCGGAGCCTTGCAGCAAAGGACCCCAGAAGTATATCTGCAGCTCATCATGTCTGCTCATTCGGTCAGCCACAAGCGACACAGCTCGTAATTCTAAGCCAGCAATATCGAATGCCAAATGCACTTACGTTTAGAACATTTTTTTTTGTGTGCGAGCTACTGCGACAACGAGGGTGAAGACATACCTGTGGCCGCAGACGCATGCGCCGGCCATCAATCGTAGAAAGGACTCGATGATGCGGATTGGAAGAAAAATGGAGAACGCCGAAAGTCGAACGTAGAAAAGTATGACCGCTCAGATACCATCATAGCCGGAAACAAAATATCGACAGAGGCTCCCAGACAATTGCACACACCACAAGACCACGACTTCTACCTCGATCGGAGATAACACGACAGCTGGAACGGGGATGCAGATCGGCGCTAATGCAAGCATCTGTTACAGTCCGTATCGCTTGCCCGTGCCGGGCGTGCCTGTCTCGCCTCGACGCGCGCCGTTCGGCAGCACCAGCCACACCAATCCCAACCGACCGGCTGGCGGGGAGCTGAGTCAGCACAGCCCTCATTTGGGAGTGATCATTTCTTTTCCGATGCACTGAGACGCTTCGCAAGAACGGGATGCGAAAGTTACAAGGCTACAGTTTGAGAAGCAAAAAAGGAATGAACAAACAGAACCTTCAGCAGCCAATCAACCGAATGCAAACCTCTCAAGGCACAGCGAATCTTGCTCTGCTCGGTCCCTAGAACTTGAGCCGTGGGGCCTTGCTAGCCTCCCGCCGAACACCTGCCTCCTGACCAGTCTCGCTAAGTACCTATGTACCTTACCCCACCATCGCCATCGTGACAAAGCTTCGGCTTCCTCCCACCTTCTCCAGCAAAGTTCCTTCAACAACATCATCCTCACCACACGTCATGGATCCAACACTCCTCATAGGCGATATCGTCGAGCGCAAAACGGCACAGCCCAAGCCGGTGATTTTCGACGACGCCGACATCTCCTCCACCGGCTTCCCCGCCCACAAAAAGCGAAGCCGCCCATCTGCCTTCAAACAGCAGCGACAGGGCAAGAAGGGAGACGATGCCCCTGCGGCTGCCGGCGCTCAGGCCCGGGCTGCACACGAAGCCAGGTTCGAAGTCGATCCGGCTACACAAAAGGCGGACTTTGAGGCGGCCGAGCGGCGGCGGATCGATCGAGAGAACCAGTCCAGGCTCGAGAACATGACGCCTGCAGAGATTGCCAGCGAGCGAGCCGAGATGCTCAAAGGACTCAACCCGGCACTAATTGAGAGACTCCTGCAGCGGGCGCACATTGATGAGCGCGATGGTCCCGACCCGTTCGATGTGCCTGGTACACAGGAGGCGTCTCCGAACCCTGCGGCGCCAGAAATCAAAATTGAAGACACAACACTGCCACCACCACGACCCAAGCCGTCAACAACCACCAGCAAGGCGACATCATCACCACCAGCCCCCGCGCAGCAGCAGCAACAACACGCACCCATAAACGAAGACCGCGTTCCATCCGCTCCTCCCGAGGACCTCTTCCCGATCAACCAGCAACCGGAACACACGCACTTCCCCCAGCCGCCTGCCCTGCCCGATCTCGATCCCTCTCACCCAGACTTCCTCGCCACGCTTCACGAAAAGTTCTTCCCCAACCTTCCCGCCGACCCCTCCAAGCTTGCCTGGATGGCCCCTCTACCGACGACAGACAGCCCCGCCGATCGTGACTCCCCTTACTACCCGGGCCAGGCCTCGCTGCCCATCTCGGCCCTTCGCTTCGACTTTCGCGGAGCCATGCTGCCGCCGCGATTGAGCAGGCAGATTCCTGTTTCCAAAGGTCTTCATCACCACGGCCAGGCGCCCGAGGCCGCTGGGTACACAATCGAGGGAGCTCTCCATATTGGCGCGTATTGCCGTCGCCGCGTAGCGGTGCATTGCGTTTCAGACCAATTGGCAGGGATTTTCTTCCGGTTGGGCAAAGGCGAATGGGGGAATTAGCAACGAGGACACGTTGGCGAGGGGGATATGGAGCAGTGTGATGGAGGGCCGGCTGATGGCAGCCTGGCCGAGGCGGCCATGAAGGAAGGTGGGCACCGGGGGAGCCGGGCGTATGCGACTGAGGCGTTATGGTTGCTGGAGAAGGGGGGATGGAAGGCGTCGTTGTCGGGGCGATAAGCGTGTCTACTATCAGGCAGATCGATGATAGCGGATGCGAGGAGTGAAGTGGGAATGTCTTGCGACTCTGTTTGCGAAAGCGAAGCGGACCAGCGGCAAAAGACTCGCTTTATGTTCATGGGCATCAGACATGACGCCAGGTTAGTGGCTTGGTTGGTGATGGGTCAA